TTTCATAAGTTGTCCCAAACATTAATATGACTCATCGGTAGTTTTGTAAATGTTGTAGTAAATCGTTTTGCGAGTCTCGTAAAGATATAATCTGTAGTAACCCGCTGTAATAAATCGCACTCGGATGTTTGGAACAGGCGATGGCGCTTCTCGCAATCACCCGCCTCCGATAATACCACGACTATGGTTGCCAATTGCTTTTAGTGTTTCGTAGCTAACAAGAAAGGATTATATGGGACGTTTTACTATCCATAATTCATTTAGTCATATCCATAACTATATTTAGGTCACTATTCCTAAAACTGCTTTGATTTTTTTTGGACAATTTTATAAATCACAATGTTATTTACGTGCTCACGGCTATTCTCGTAAGGATCTCACTTCCAGATTTGAACATTTTGTTAATGTTCTTAGGTTTCATTTTCAGTGAGCAATTATGAACACTATAGTCATCTGTAAGAGCTGACAAGTTACTTACAGTAGCACTGATATTGTCGTTTAATTTTCTCATCTTGTCATTCGAACTGCTCGTGATTACTCATTGTTGTGTTGAGAACGCTGAATGAGGTGGTCCTGGGTACGATTTGGGTACGATCGATAGCACTATGGGAAAGAATCTTTTCTAAATTCCGTTGCTCTTGTATTCATGGTACCGGGAACTCCGTAATAGTTTGATCAGGTGATTGGTATGTTTCTCTGGCACATTATTTCATTGTATTTCAATGCTGGAAAGGTAAAACGTCTAACGTGCATTTGGAGCATATTATAGTAGAGCGATTTAAAGTAATTTTTTTAAGAAAAAAATCATAACTTTAATTTTATTTGCTATTTAGAAAAGCTAAAACTCTATTTTTCCATATAACAAATCCCTCTCTTGTAATATTTTTCAAATGCACGTTAGACGTTTTACCTTTCCAGCGTCAGTTTATTTATTTAATCTTTTTTGCACTATTCAATAATGTACAAATTGCCGACTTAATGCCATAAGGCATTTTTTACCTGTCAACCATTGGGTCAAACAGAAAATAAAATAAAAGATTACACTTAAAACAAACACAAAAAAATACCATAACGTCGCCTTACTTTCTCAAACTCGTATCTCAAAGTTACTGAAATGCAAAAAATAGATTGTATATACTAATTTTGCAAGCTGTTTACACATCACATTTCCTTCATATTCACACACTGGCTTTTGCCTATTCTTAAAGTAATAGATCCAAACTCATAGGAAATTTAAAACAAAATAGAAAGTTTTGCCATCTCCTGAATAATCACTTTTTAGAAGATACGAGTTTGAAAAAGTAAGGTAAAATTATATTTATTCTGTTTATTATATCTATCGTGGAATTGCTAAAGTTATTTATTATAATTTTTCTGCTATTCTGCGCTCTTTTTCCGTAACTAAAGTATAGACATAATTTAAGAAATTGAGTTATCAACATATCTTTTTATATATTATTTAGTTTCAGTCTTATTGTTAACCAAAATCAGCGTAATTGACATTTTTATTACCAAAAAAACTTTAGGTGCTAATATTTATTTATTTATTTTATTTTTGAGGGTACAAACAGCTTGTATCACAATGTAATAGAAACTATATAAAATAATTATAAGCAAAAACATTTCCCTACTGATAAACTATAGCAAAAACACTAGCATTAACAACACTAAACAACTAAATGACATTGGACACACACATGACACATTATAGAAGCAATGTAACGTTACGCATCTAATTTCCGTAACGTTACTTTAGTAATAAAAAAATGAATTAGATAATACTTTCTTAACGTACGCACAGTTTGCGTGAGACAAATCAAAATCGTAAAGAGCAGAAACTTTGTTAAAATTATTATTCGAATTATTAATATCTCGAAAGTTACCGAAACGCTTGCTTGCTTTTATAGTTTATTGTCGCGCGCGGAACTCAAGAATTCCAATGAATTAAACACTACATAATGTTTTTTTCATTGTTGACTTGTATCACAGTTTTTATAATTTAACACACGTCCAACACATTCTTGGCTGTCCCTCATCGCGCTTATGTCACACAGCGTCAAACGGAAGCGGTTGTTTTTCTCGTTTTATGTTTGTAAATTGCTTGTTAGTGGTCATAGAGTTACTAGCTCTGAAAAGTGATGGAAATTTGAGAGAATTAGTTATTATTTACGGGTTATAATATGAATGAGACAATAATTTATTTATTTAATAGCAATAGAGCTTTTTAGTAGCAGTAGAGCTCCTTGTGAAATTTCATCCAGGGAAGTACTGCCACCTTACCTATTTCTTCCGCTAAGCAGTAATGCTCACATTACTGCGTTCTAGTTTTGAAGCGTAAGAGTGCTGGTAAAATCACGAGCACAGGGACTTGTCAACTTATGTCTCAGGAAGACAGGCACAGTGACAGTGCCAGTGACATCTTTGTGGTTTAAAGCTCTGAGTGGCACTGCAACTGTTAGACTGGCGTGTCGCTTACCCACCCTTGTTCGTCCCGTCACATGGTAACCAATCTACATAAAATATAATTACTTTATTGTAATTTATTTAAAATATAATAATTTAAATTTAGTATAAATCTAGTTAGTATAAATATAAAAAATCATCATCTTCATCATCGACCAATTTATACGTCACATAGCTTGGCACGGGTCTACTCTCAGGCGATGGTTTAAGCCATAGTCCGCCATCCTGGCCCAATGCGGGTTGGAGACATTACACATTTTACGAGAGTCGTGAACCTACTTCGACGTGTAGGTTTTATCGCGATGTTTTTCATCAACGAAAAGTTCCTGGTAAATTTCAAATTTAATTTCGCACGCAAACCATTCATATATAAGCTCACGCCCTAGTCCCACAGGAGGGGTAGGCATAGAACACCACTTTACTCTATCCTGACACAACTTTCGAACCTCACATACATCAACTACCCTTTTCATAGAACTTCTTTTATTCTTGTCACTTCGGATCCCAGCCTTTTTGAGGACATCACTGATCTGGTCAATGTAAGTCTTTCTGGGAAGTCCTCTTAAAACCACATCATAAATCTGTTTGGTAAATCTTCTTACATCCATCAGCTCTACATGCCCAAACCACCTCAACATTCCTTTCGCTATTCTAGTCACTAGATCTAGATCCTTTTTCAAGCCACATCTTTCACGCATTATTGTATTCTTCACTTTATCACTCAACTTTATTCCACAAATTTTCCTCAAAGATCTCATCTCCACGGCATTAAATCTTGCATGCTTCTTCTGCCATATCAAACTCTCACTACGAAACGTCAGTGTAGGAACCAGCAAAGCATTGTCTATGGACTTGTGTTCTTTTTGGGATAAGATGATGCTCCCCATTAGACCATTTATGGCTCCATTTACAGCGTTTCCCTTTCGTACCCTTCTTTCAATGTCCTCATCAAACTTTCCATCATCAAGACGTTGAAAAAAGTGACGGGTTGAACAAATCGTGCGCCTAATGGTAAGCTACACGCCTGTCCATAACAGTTACAGTGCCACTCAGAGCTTTAAATTCCAAAGATCTGAGGGGCACTACCACTGCGTCATTCACCCTGAGACATAAGTTGGCAAGTCCCATGTGCCTGTAATTTCACAAGCACCTTTACCCTTTAAAACCGGAACACAGTAATGCTGACATTACTGCTTGGCGGCAGAAGTAGGTAAGGTGGCAGTATTATCCTGGACGAACTCTTTCACAAGGAGCTCTACTGCTACAAACTCATTCACTTGGTCAACGTTCATAACTGTATTTTAATCTTACATACCGTTCTCACGTTCTGGTCTCTTTCAAAAGCCATCACTTTTGTCTTCTCTGCATTAATCTTTATACCTCAATATAATTTCCAAATGACTCATTCATAATATCCAGCATTTTTTGCAGATCAAACCTTGATTTAAAAATTAATTGAGTGTGAATATTTATTTCCTGATTTGTCTCTTTTCAACGAACAGCTATTCTGAAAATACAATTGACGTGTTTCTTGAATTGGTTTACTGAGTTCGGTTGGCACGTATTTATGAATGGAAAATCCGTCAAACCACCGTCGAGACCACCCGTTCCGGACGTCATAGTTCCAATTTTAACCTTATAGCTGATGCATTGGCTCGTTAGTGCAGCTAAATGTTTTATATGTGTTGGTATTTCAGGGTTTAATTGTTTCTCGAGATTTTCATATTAACTATGTGTTAAATCTAGTAATTCGTTTACATTTTTAACCAACTCGCAACAAGAAGGAGGTTCTCAATTCGACTGTATTTTTTTGTATGTAATGCGATAACTTTTTGTTTTTGGATTTGTAAACCGATTTTGATGATTCTTTTTTGTTCGAAAGAGGGTACCTCAGTATTGGTCCCATTTTAATTTAAAGAAAATATTCCAAACTAACCGTCTAATTTGAAGGCGCCTTTAGAGTAAAGAATAACGTTAACCGTTGTTTTGTTTTATCGCAAATCCAGAATTGGCTTTTATTTATAAATAAAGGCCTGATTCGACTTTCAGACTGCTATTAAACTTCTACTCCAACAGTGTTATTGGAAATTTTCCATTACCCTGTGTAGTTTAAGTTCGGCTATTCAATGCAAGGATACGTCACGGATTTATTACGCCATTGACTGGCATGTTATTACTTGAGAGTCAGCGATCAAGTCATCTCCCATCACTCATCTGCTGTATTTCACGTTTTTGTCATAACATTTGATGGTTATCACTGTAGGCACTAGATGAGGAGGTCTGAGGTTCGATTCGCGGAAAGACAAATTTGGAAGATAGACTTCGAAACTGGTTCTGGTCTGGTTGTTCTGGGTAATGCCACCGGTGTTATTTCGTTGCTCACCAGAACAATCGCGAAAACCTAACTCTGTAGTTACAACAGTTAATCCCGATAAAAAACTTAACCTACCTTAGTCTTTTGTTATAAACAAAAACTTGAAATTAATACTTTTAATGTTTAGAAAATTATAAAAAAGACCTCTTGTCTTCTTCCACAGCTATCAGAAGTCGGTGGCGAGTTAGCCGAGGAACGTGCAGCGGCGGCCCTGGCAACGGAGCGCGCCGACGCCGAAGCGGCGGAACGCTTGCGCATCGAACGGGACAACAGAGACCTGCTCAGTAACAACCAGAGGTTGCAGCAGGTGAGAAACAGAATTATCTTTTCATTTAATTTTTTTTTTAATTAACTGACCTCCTGACCGAACGGTCATCATACTGGTCTGCCACGCAAAGGTACCGGTTTCGATTCCCGGATCGGGTGAAATATTTTTATGGCCAATATTTATTTATCTCGTGAGTATGCGTGTAATTTGTCGTTGTCTATGTGTGTGTCCATGGCAGAGGGTTTCCCTAGTACGAAGCTATGAGTATATGTTACGTTACGTTATTTATTTATTTATTATCAGCTTTATTAAAAAAAAACAAGGCAAAAGCGTCATAAGAAACAGGCACCCAAATCATCACTGCGCTCCATAAGTGAGATTAGTCTTAATAAGAAACTTTCATAAGTTATCACAGGTATCACAGAAAAAGCCATTTAAACCCAGTACAATGCCGCAACAAGCAAATAGACAAATTCGTGAAATCTGCTAGCTGGATCCGTAGCTTAGTTGACAGGGTAGTAGCCATATTGAGACAACAGATACTGGTTCTAGTCCAGTCGTATCGAAGGAAATTCTTTTTATGTTTGGCGGCCAGGACTTACCTCGTGAAGGCACCTTGCACATCCAGCATTGAGTTTGTTAAAGTGTCACAGTTTTTGTTTTGTTCGCAACAATGTCTACACTTTTTGAATAGCGAACATGTTTTAAAGGGATTTTAGTAGCATTGAACTCTTTCAATGCTACTAAAATCCCATTTAACACGAGTTCAAAAACATAAGACAACCAGTGTACATGAGCGATACTTAAAATAATCCTTAGAAAAGAGTTTCTCATGTACACTGGTTGTCTTATGTTTTTGAACTCGTGACGACAGTTTGAGGTAGCGGGGAGCGGGTGAGAGGGAGGATAGTGTTGCCAAAACGTAAATGTAATTGCTTTTACTGTGCGATGAGAAAAATACTTACCAATAAATGCTATTATTTAAGAAATAGAATAGAACAATATAGATGGAACTGACACAATTTATAATTGCGCAACCAACGTTTGGAATTATGTATCCATAAAAATAGCAAATGAGTATTTTCGCAACAAAATAGACGAATATCATTATAATAAAAATATCACGATATTCATAAAAAATTAAATTTATATATTTTCGTAGCAGTAGAGCTCCTTGTGAAAGAGTTCGCCCAGGGAAGTGTTGCCATCTCACCTATTTCTGCCGCCAAGCAGTAATGCGAGCATTACTGCGTTCCGAATTTGAAGGGTAAGGGTGCTGGTGAAATTACAGGCACATGGGTCTTATCAACTTATGTCTCACGATAACGAGCACAGTGGGAGTGACCCTCAGATCATTGCGATTTAAATGACGACGTGTTCGTCCCATCTCTTAACCTCGTAAGGCCCAGTGTACATTAAAATGTTCATAATATGTGAAGCATTAAATTTTTTAAATACTTATAATATGACATATATAATGTGAAAAATACTGTCCATATCCTTTTTTTATTGCCTGTCCCCTTTTATAAACGCCGATTGTGCATTTAAATGAACGAAAAATATCGTATACAAATGTAGTATATATATATATAAAATATATATATATAAGAATACATTGCACTACATTTAGTGCAATGTATTCTTAAACATTTAATATATATATATTTTACTAAATGCAATTGCACACTCTAATGTACATTTGGGATTTAGCGCTTCTCCCATTAAATTTTGCTGGGCCTTAGGAGGTTAATAATATTTTTTTAAAACATAACTGCTTGGCGGCAGATATAAGTAAGGTGGCAGTACTTCCCTACACGAAGTCACACACAATGAGTTATGATGTAGCAACGAGAACCAACAATAGACTAAAAAATGTCATAAAACAGAGACTTTTCAACTTATGTCTCAGTGTGACGGGCGCAGTGGCAGTGCCCTTTCAGCGGCACTGCAACTGTTACGGACAGACGCGCCGCTTACCACCAGGCGCACGACTTGTTCGTCCTGTCACTTAGTATCATAAAAAAGACAAACAAATAACGCTTGACTTTTTTAACATTTGTTCCCTGTCTTATGTGTACAGGCATCGGAGCGTCTGGAACTTGAGCTTTTGCATTGGCGCTCTGCCGAGGGCGGAGGCGCCGAGCCTTCAGACTCGGAAGGATCTGAAGCTGACGCGACAGCCGGCGCTGACAAATACAAGCGAAGATATGAACAAGCGCACCGGGAGCTGCAGTTGCTGAGAGCTCAGCTTAGGAGACAGCATGAAGATGACTTGGAACAGCTTGTTACAGTCAAGAAACAGCTTGAAAAGAAGGTAAGTTACTCATTCATATCCACTTGTTAAACCACGCCCTTCAAATGTTTAGACTCGTCACAGACAGGAACAGTTATGCTGACTTGACTGCCAACGTTCACTAGTTCGAGAGGCACTTGAAGAAGAAGAACTACTAGACCATAATTTACGACCTCAGTTACCCTAGAGTTCACAGTAATTTTAGGATGCTGTGATGGAAATTTTGTTGCCAGACAAATATAAACCAATAAAACTAATAATATAGGAAAATAGAATTTATGAGCAAGAAATAAATAAATAAACATAGAAAACCGTTTAGTACAGGAGTCAATGAGTACAGGGTTAAAAGCACGATAAAATAAATAAAATAAATAAAATAAGCTTAACATTTACATTTTAAATTAAATTTCATAGTAGCGGTAGAGCTCCTTGTGAAAGAGTTCGTCTAGATAAGTACTACCACCTTACTCATTTCTGCTGCCAAGCAGTAATGTGACCATTACTTTGCGATGTGACGGTTTTGAAGGGTAAGTGTGCTGGTGAAACTGGAGGCACATGGACTTGTCAACTTATGTCTCGGGGTAACGGGCGCAATGGCAGTACCACTCCGTTTTTTGCGATTTGAAGCTCTGAGTGGCAATTGCGCTGCAACGTTATGGACAGGCGTGTAGCTTACCACCACGCACAAAACTTGCTCGTCCCGTCACTTAATATTATTTAAAAAATGCTCAAAACTCTATCATTCTCGATGTGCTCTTGACGTACGGTGCTTGAGCAGTGCTGCAAGTGGGTATCCAACCTTAAAACAACTCACACAAGTTTAAGAATAAATGTGCTGGATACGACATCGAATGCATGGTAGTGACACCCACTTAATGTAGTTTGTTAAGATGTCTGGACCGCCACACGGCCAACATCATTAATTTAACCGTTCAACATTTCATAATAATTCCTAAAACTTTTTTTTGTGAGTAATAAATAAACATTTAAAAATAAATACTTTCAAAAAATGTCAAGGGCACAAACTACACTGGCATCTAAAGATTCGTTTTGACGCAAAACCATTGCCAAGTGTTACATTAGTTATATTACTATACTTTAGTTAAAGATTATACTTTGGGAGATCCGCCAAATTAACGTTATACATCGCACCGGCAACACAGATTACCCATGAGTATATACAACCTCAAATGGTATTGGTTAATTCCAAATAACAGTGTAAGTGTTGAAGTAATCACTATAGAAAAAATATATAATAAAATTGAGGATATATACGTTATGAAATCACGATTCTTAAAAATTTTCGCGACAGAAAAACAACACAAACTTACAAGAAAACCCCTATATTTAATAGGCACTTTACATATGCCAATGATATTTTTATCAACTGAACTAAATAGAACTCGGATAGTATACGATATAAGTTTTTCAAATGGCTTTAATTTCGTTTGTAAAAAAATACTTTCTCGACCCAAGCAAAATGATCCGTATGAGTACGGGAAAAATTTGAATTCACGCTGAGGTAGTCAAGGTATCTTAGTAGTTATTTGTATTTGTATTGTAGAATATTGTCATGAAGTATTATTTAATATTCGAGTTTAATGCCCTGAAATATTATTTAACATTCAAGACTCGACCACCGAAATTAGGTAGAAAAAACTAACCTGAAAATCACTCGTATAAGTTACGCTATTTGTGTACCGATTTTGAAGATTCTTTTTTTTTATTAAAAAGGGGGTACGACCGTAGTGATCCCATTCAAATTTGAAGAAACTATTTCACCTCTAAGTGTAGCAAATTAGGGAATGAATTCGGTTGATTTCAATAAAACTTGGCAAATAGATGTAATTCTACAAACTTTAAAGGTCGGTTTTTTGTTTATAAAAACAGTTGTAATTTGAAATACAACTAACAATCTGTTTCGGGCTTTGTACAAGTCCCATAACTGAGTCAACCGTGACCATGGGACTTGTAAAGGTCTCGAAACGTTGGTTTGTTGTGGTAAAGAAAAGAACAAATATACGCAATTTACACCCAATAAAAATAGTTTTATTTTTGGCTATGTATTTAAAGTTTTATAGTTACTTTAGAAGCAGCGTGTATAATGAAAATACACACAATATGTCTATTTTAAAACTCAGAAAATGTGTTTACTGTGAATGTGGAAGTCGTTTAGCTAATAATGTTTTTGCTAGAGTTTTTTTTCCTTTTACTGTTCACACATTTGTCGACTGTCAGCTGCTTATAAATATACGACATCAGTTGTTTTGTTACGCTAAAATAGAATTTGGCATTAAGAGGGAGCAGAGAAAAAATTCCTAATCTTCGATTTGATTTTAGAAAGGTATATCCACTTTAAAGTTAAAAATAAAATATTGTATGAGTAACTACACGGTATATTCAAGCATAGACATTAATCAGAAATATAAAACAATAATGTTTCCTCGATAGATAAAAATCACGAAATGACCTCTAATTTTCACAGTTTAACGATTTATCCTCGAAATTTTGCAGGTTATTAGGACAAAAATTACATAATTAATTATATTTATGCATGATCGACAACTGTCACTACGGATTTTTTTAATCCCTTTAGTTTTAGAGTTATTCCGCTAAAACGAATTTGGTACTTTTAATGCGCAAAATTCAATATCTCCTGTCGCATGTCACGCGAACTTCAGGCATATATTTGTTTCACAAATTTGGGCGGAGCCAACGTCAAAACTTTTTTGGCATGAGAGCTCTTAATTAATTCGATAGTTCGAGATAGAAATGCTTTAACAGCCAGAGAGTGTGCGATGGAATTGCATATTTTGATTCCGCCTTCCCCTTTCCATCATAGGGGGACTAGACGTGGGCTGGGGTTCCACCCCTATGTTGTGGATATTCTCAGGAATCGCATAAAGCGTTTCGCTTCCGCATTTATGCGAAGCGAGCGGCTAGGGAGTGGAATTCCCTGCCTGCAGACTTGTTCCCCGAACGCTATAACTTGGACCTTTTCAAGGCGAGAGTGCATAGGCATTATTGAGGTGTGCATGCTACATTCTCAACCTCATCGTCACTTTCCATCAGGTGAAATGGAGGTCAAATGCGCACTTATTTTTATATATAAAAAAAGAGTATTCTATTTATTATTCACCAAAATTAGTTTTTTTTACGTAAATCTACTTAGAGACATACCAATATAGTAAATATTTTGTTGTTTGGTTTTTGCGCCCTTTATACTACGAATTGTCAGATTGTTCTATTTTTGTTTTAGAATTAATGTTTCACTGATCATTTTATTTTAAAAAACAATGTCCTCAGCTAATGATTTAATAATAATAATAATAATAATAATAATAATTTATTTCATTAAAAGTTAAGGTACTGCTAAAATCAAAGTTTAAGAAAAAACCTATTATAACAATCACGCCTTTCTGTGAAAAACCTAATTGTGAGCCTTTCTCCTTGTGACTACAATCAACCATATGACAATTTTTTTTAATATATAATTAATCATAATATATAAAAATTCCACTTATTCAGTAATTCCGCATAGAATGTTATATTTTTAAGAAAAATCGACCGTACTATGGGAATATTTTTAAAGTTGCGCCTGAAACTGCATCCTTTAGTATCCCTTATTTTTTTCGAATGTCCAAACATTTTAAAAACACTACAGATGTATTAATTTGTCATATATAAAATCCCACTTGTTCAGTAATAAATGTTACGATTTTAACAAAAATCAACCATGTTATGTCATGCCATATCAACAGTGCAATTAAGATTGGAACCTTGATGAATAAATTGAAGTACAGCTTATATTTTTCCGAATGTTCAACAATTTTTAAACACAGTCCATGTGTGTTAATTGGGCACTATATACATATAAACCACATTTGTTCATAAATTCAGTATTTAATGTTAACAAAAATAAACCATATGTAAATATTTTAAGGTGTACCGAATATTGCATACTTACATTTTTTCAAATGTCCAAATATTTAAAAAAATACTCCGGTCATATCAGCCACAACTTGTTCTATTATTTAACTTTTTAACTACCTCCGTGGCCGAACGGTTACCATGCTGAACTGCCACGCAGAGGTCCCAGGTTCGATTCCCGGGCTGGGAGAAATATTTGTATGGCCTACATTTATTTCTCCCGTGAGTTTGGGTGTAATTTGTGGTTGTCTATGTGAGTGTCCATGGCACCCGCGACTCAGAGTTTCCCTAGTGCGGGGCTTTGTAGAGTGCATGTGTTATTATTATATAAAAAAAACCAGTACTTAGTCTGTGATTTTTTATCTTATGTAAGCTCGTGTTTATAGAACACTGGCCGAGCATATATGTATAGATCATCGAATGAGATTACGGTTTATCTGAAAAACATTCTCGAGATCATCCTTGATGATGTGCCGGGCCGATATACCATCTTATTATCTATCAGTTTGTTGTACTACGTACTCCTAAAGAAGTATGTTGCAAGTTTTGTAAGAACTATCTATTTGAAATTGTTGGATAACATTGAATTTGGTGTTTTCTCTTGTTGTGTTTATATTTTTGTGTTGAATTATTCCGACATAAAGGCTGAATATTGTAGACTGAGTGATTGAATATATACATAAATACAAACAACATTTACTGTAAATGTAGTAAATCGTGTGAAATAAGATTGGTTGGCCCCAATTTATACATATTAGGTGAGTTGTACGTATGATCATTTATAGTAAATGATATAAATAGTGATATATGTATATTGGGTCTAGTGAATTTTGTTCATATTAGTATCATTCTCTAAAATATCGTAAAATAAATATATAGGTAGTAAATGTTATCAGCAGAGATTTTTTTAAGGTAAAGTATATCATAGTGTTCATTGAAGTAACATGTATGTGGAGTGACTAATACCTCCCTTTAAGAAATCGGAATTATTGTATTTTATTCTTTAGATCAGTAGCTAGCAATTACTATGTTAATATATTTAGAAGAAAAGAAAAAATTGTAAGGTCAAAAACTTTTTGCTTTTTTCGGCA